GTCTTTGGTTGCAATGCAATTTTATTTGCACTAATACAAATACATGGGAGTGCAGATGGAAAAAAATGCAAACTCTAATTTTATTTTATTTTGGGTTTTACTTTATTCTACTTCATGTCTTAAATTACTTCATTTGTACTGCAATCAAGCAAACTAACCTAAAATTTGAAACAAAAACTAGATCAGAATTTACATTCAAATTATTTGTACTGCTATAATTTTGCATCTACAAATTTATTTGCATTGCAACCAAACACAGCCAAGGCTCAGTTTGRAAAGAGTACAAATACAAATATGTATGGTGCAAATACACACAATAATGCAAAATACAAGGTTTTGCACTCTACATATTTGTATTTGTACTCCTTCCAAATTGAACCATAAGATCTGTTTGAAAAGAGTATAAATACAAATATATAGAAAATAATACAAAATACAAGATTTTGCACTCTGCATATTTGTATTTATACTTCTTCCAAACTTAGCAAAGAGTACAAATACACATATGAACAATGCAAAAGAAGAATAAGAAATACAAAATACATGTTTTTGAATCATTTTTTCAGAAACAGTGGTTCAGATGAAATACCCATGAGGACTGATTATTCCATTCACAACAAGTTTCCAATGCGGAATTAAAATTTAAACCACTACTGCTAAATCCCAAGGTTGCCAATTCGATTGCTCACAGGTCACACAGACTAGAAACATTTTTCAGAACCAGTTATTCGGAAGAAAAGGTACATCAGATTTGGTTCAATCAGGATTGCATTTGGATTTAGATACATTTTGCGTTATGTAGAGGCAATGAAAATTTTAATATTTTTAAAATGAAACCAAAAACCCAGTTACATCATGGATCAGAATATAATTATGAATTTAATTCATAGTCTGACATTGAAATCAAATATCCTAGGGAAATATACGGTGAGCATAAGCAAAAGTGCCAGTAGGCTCCACCTAATCCCAAAAGGTGGTCACAGGCCAAATACAAAGAAATGTCAAATAATAATCACAAGGCATTTGTACAGAAAAGTTAATGAGCAGCTATTATAGGGCACAATGGCGAATCAGATTCATGTTCCCAATTAATTGGGATTAAGGCTGAGCCGAATTTTAAGCCGTGGAACAAGATAATTTCWTCTCTTACCCTGTTTCTCCGAATTGTATGGATGACCGTCGACAGTAGCTTATCTGAGATTGAATAAACATACTGCTATGTTGCATTTCCTTATGAGAACTAATAAATCTTGTATGAGCACTAAGACAGCCGCTAGCATTGAAGCAGGCACTRTTTGTTCGAGGCTTCAAAACAATCCTCAAGCTTGTCCTTTCATTGATCAACGTTGCGCGTTGCATATAACTGTTAAGGTATAGAACAAATAAATTAAATACAGAACACCATCTCATTCTATTGCTCATTGGTAATTCCTCTTTCCAAGCTACAACTAGCAGTGAAGGATCAAAGTATCGGTATTGGCATTCGACAATTCAGACACCGATACAAATAGATTTCGGAAACACATAAATATAGAGGAAAGATATGGATATGCTTAGAAATACTTGGATATACTAAGAAAATACATACAAATCACATAAATACATTAGTAACACTAAGTATAAGTTGAATTATCTATAAATAAGGTATAAACACACGAGAAATGCGCACTTTAATAAGCTATATGAAGAGAAAGATTAAAATTGATAATGCCAAGACTCTAAAGAATGTATACATCATACAATAATTATTACTTTATTTTAGTTTTTATAATTATAAATTTTTATTTTTATTAAACTTTTTGAAAAAAATTATTTAGTATTTTAATATAAATAATAACTCTATTTTTTCAATAATATAGTTAAAATGTAATTTACATGTAAAATAAAACATATAAAGAATTTAAGATAAAATAAATTATTCTTATAATTTTTTTTYATTAAACTTTTGGGAAAAATTAAATCTTAAATTTGCTACAATTTTATTATTATAACTCCATTTTAATTTTAATAATTATAATTTTTTTGGTATTTATAATTATAATTTCAATGTATATTAAAATCCAAAAACAATCCAAAAGCAGTCAATATACAGATTTGTCAAACAAAGCACCAATACAACACTTCTGTACCAAGTGTGATATGGCCTAATATGAAGGTGTATCACGCCGATATGCACAAGTTGTGGGTTACATACCCAGTCATGGCATATCCCGTATCCGTAGCTATGGATACRGATACAATACACCCCATATTGGGAGTATCATATCGTTACTTTAATCCTTGCTAGCAGTCCATGGTTCACTCATTTGGGTAGATTCCTCTCCTGAAAAGTGATAAGCATAGACAGCCAAGTGGTTACTAGTTGAACTCTGGGTAGAGAAAATCTGCCAAGTATTGGGTGAACCAAACCTGGCTTCATGTCTTCTGGATAGTGCATGCAGTTTGCATCCCCAGAATGGTTTGAGTCGTCATCTTTGCACAACAAGTCATTCAAGGTCAATGAAAACTGGCAATAGGCTGATAGAAGTTGTCGATGAATCTCTTCCGTCCGTCCACATTTCTCATCTTGCCTATCCATCTCAATAAGAACCTGTTGACAACCAACGCATGAAACCTAGACCAATAATGAACATGAACATGAACATGAACATGCGTAAGAAAGATGGTACCTCTGCGGAGAACATCTTGAATATAGGACCAAACCGCTTCCTACAGTACTCATTGAAAAGGAGAGTGCAGATCAGCAATGGGATGGTGAAGCCTGATGCAATTGGTGAATGTTTTATTCCAAACACTCCTAGTGCAATTATTTGTGTCAGCACCAGTGAGAAAATAGTCGTATTGTGTACAATTGGCCAAATTTGTCCACCCGTTTCATATTTTGAAACATATACATTAACAATCTGACATTCACATTTAAAGGACAGTATCAGGAGATATCTGTTAATGGATAAAAAGGATTTACGTGTCGAAAGAGATAACAAAATGAAACAAAAATACAGGGATGTGGAGTAGGAAGAAATAAAAAATTGAGACAACCATTTAGTAATCATTATTCATATCACATTCCAAAATGGAACCGCAAGAAGCTCCTAGAAATCAGGACCATTTGCTGATTGTGGAACACATCAAATTACCTTGGGACAGAAAAAAACAATAACATGCAGAAAATTACCTTGGGACAGAAAAAAAGGTCCGTGATATCCTTGCATCTCCATTCTTGCATTGGAGCATGATTAGGAGATTTAAGTTCTCTGAGAATATTATGGTGATTCTAGTATACACTGCAAAATTACCTTGGGACAGAAAAAAAAGGTCCGTGATATCCTTCCAGAATAGGTGAAGGAAAATCCAAACTCACAATGTCAATCATATGTATTAGACTGAGGTTTACCATCAAATGTCAATAAGATATAGAATTCTCATTAGGTTTTTCTAGACTTTATACCAGCTTTGTCAAATCATCCCTGGTCTTTGAGACACTTATAAAATACTYTAAGGCTCCATAGGAGAAATTGAATCTGCTACCTCACAACCAATGGGATGGAATTCTCCACCTACCTTGATTTCCTTTTGAGACCATTCCCACCACTTCAGAAGAAGTCTGTCAAACCCATTGCAGACCAATGGGTGGCTCTCTTAGGTATTATAACCCTATTGCCAACTAAGGTTTGAGGGAAGATTAACATAGTTTTACAATCATGATTGCCTTCAATGTGGACCCAGAAGAACTGATATTCAGGTGAAACTGAACTGCCTTTATTTCAATCATGATTGCTTTCTTAAGTCTGCATACTATTCCCTTTTCAGCATTCTTTACATATACACTTCTTCTTGTAGATCTCCATTTAGAAAAGCATTCTTTACATCAATTTGAAACAGGGGCCAAGGGTATGTGGCAGCAAGAGAAAGAAGTATCTGAACAGAGGTCATCTTTGCAACTGGTGCAAAGGTCTCTAAGTAATCAATGCCATAGGTCTGTGTCTACCCTTTTGCAACAAGTCTGGCCTTATACCTTTCTATACTTCCATCTACCTTATATTTGACTATGTAAACCCATCTACATCCAACAATCTCCTTACCCTCTGGTAGGTCCACAATCTCCCATGTCTGATTCTTAATTAAAGCTTCCATCTCTTCCTACATAGCTATTTTCCACTCAGGTTTGGAGAGAGCCTCACCGACACCCTTGAATATAGACACGAAGTCAAGAGAGGAAAGAAAAGCTCGGTAGGAAGGAGAAAGTCTATTATAAGAGGTACTGTGAAATATAATGAGCAATACACTTTCTCTTCCCTTTTCTAAGAGTAATAGGAAGGTCCAGGTTATCTATAATGGGGTTATTAGAATCAATGGGAACTAAAACAGCAGAGGGATCAAGAGGAATAACTGAATCCATAAGTTGAATCTAGAGTCTCCAAGGAACCCACARGAAGTGATGTGAGTTTTGCTACAATGGAATCAACCTCCCTGTGAAGTCTCTGTCGTGAGTAACGCTAAGAAGYAGGATGCAAGGGAGGTGGTAAGGTAGGTGACATAGGAGGATCAGACACAGGAGTGGTCATAGGAACTGGAACTGGAAGAGGGATAGACTGCTCACTCACTTCCCCAAAACACTCCCCCTGAGAAGGTTTCTTCGAGAAGAAGTATGTGGACTAAAAAAAACTGACATCCATAGTAACATACAGACTCCTAAAGACTGGACCATAACAACAATACCCTTTCTGATTTTCTGCATATCCAAGGAAGACACTTCTTTGCCTTCGGATCAAGCTTCGAACGGTGAGGACCAAGAATATGTGCAAAGCAAACACACCCAAACACTCTGAGAGGAATATGGAACATCTCCCCCTCAGGCAAAAAGGAGGTTGAATGGGATGCTAAATCTAAGCATACGGGAGGGCACCTTGTTAATAAAAAATACTGCTGTGAGAATTGCATCACCCCAAAACCGAACTGGAAATGTAGATGTGATCATCATGCTTCTTGCAATCTCAACAATGTGTCTATTCTTCCTTTTTGCAACAACATTCTGATGTAGACTATAGGAACAGTTGCTTTGATGGACAACACCATATTCTAACAAATATGAAGCAAAGTGCTTTTCAAAATATTCCCTAGCATTGTCTGATCTGAACACCTTTATTCGTGTTCCAAACTATGTTAGCACCATCTAATGAAATTGCCTTACCAAGGATGGTACCTCATCTTGGGATCTCATCAAGTAAATCCAAGAATATCGAGAGAAATCATCCACAAATAAGAGAAAATATCGAAAACCACCCATAGAAGGAACATGATAAGGTCCCCACACATCAAAATGAATAACATCAAAAGGAGATRAACATCTTTTATTACTAGCTTTAAAGGAATGTCTACAATGATTTCCATGTTGACAACCTTCACACTCTAGACTTGACAAACTAATAGACTCAAATAGCTTTGGAAACAAAAGACTCAAAGAAGAAAAAGGAAAATGACCTAAACAATTATGCCAAAGCATAATCTGACTCATAGACCCTGACTCACTATCCCTACTGACATGATGACTCTGATGAGGAGGAAACACATTTAGGAGGTAGATTCCATTCACTTCACAACCACTCCCAATTGTCCTCTTTGAATTCAAATCCTGCAAGATACAATGACCAGGAGAAAAAATTACTAAACAATTCAGGTTCTTAACCAAACTACTAATAGATAAAAAATTAGTACTCAATTTGGGAACACGAAGGATAGAGGGAAGGGAAATGAAATCACTAATCTTGATAGACCCCTTCCCAACAATGGGAACATGAGATCCAATAGCTGTGGAGACCCTGTCTCTGCCAGGACAGAGATGGTAAGAAGAAAAAATAGTGGAACTATGGGTCATGTGCTCTGAGGCTTCAGAATCTATAATCCAAGGAAGTCCCTCCTTACCTGATTTGCAGTGGCACGTGAACTACCTGTGTGAGCAAAGGAAGTAGAGAGTGCTCCACCAGAACCACCTGTACCTGGCTGTCCACCTGTTGCTGAACTAGAACTGGCTGTATCCTGTTGGTTCAGAAACCGCCCATACCTCTCAAGTTCGGCCCTTACTGCAGCAGCTGCTCTCTTCCCTTGACACAAAGGCATATGCCTAGGAGAGAGTAACATTG